AAAATAACCTGTTATACCACTAATCACAAATATGGTCCTTAACTCTTTTGGTCATACACAGGAGTATTGTCTAAAACATGTCTTCTTTGTCGCAGCTAGGCCCTGCCACCACTGTGCTTTGCTGAGTTCACAAACCCGTTGCAACCTATAGCTTCCCTGTCACTTCTCCAACTCTACTCTCCTGCTAAGCTTTGTTTCCAGGCAGTAATTAAAATCTTTTGCCAGTGCTATAGCTAGTGCTACCCCTATAGCCTCCTTGGTTTTGTGGCTTCCACCATCATAGGAGCCAGAGCTTTTGGCTCCAGAGTTTTTTGTCCCTTCATGGATCAAAAATGTGAAGACTGATAGTTTTAATTGCCAAAATCATTGTAGCTTCTACCACCTCCAATATTGCTTCCATCGTGACCAAATCCATTATAGCCATCCCCACTGCTACCACATCCTCCACCACCACAGCTGCCCCTGAAGCCACCATGACCACCGAAGTTTTCTCCATAACCAAAGGTGTCATTCCCACCAAAACCACCTCCGTGGCCACCACGGAAGTTTCCAGAACTACTTTGTCCTCTTTGGCTGGATGAAGCACTAGCCATCTCTTGCTTTGACAAGGCTTTCCTACCTTCACAGTTGTGGTCATTTACAGTATAGTATTTCTGAATGACAGTCTTATCCCCAGAGTCATGATTGTCAAAGGTTACAAAGGCAAAGCCCCTTTTCTTGCCACTGCTCCGGTCAGTCATAATTTCAATCACTTCCATTTTTCCATACTGTTGAAAATAATCTCTTAGGTGATGTTCTTCTGTGTCTTCTTTAATGCCACCAACAAATACCTTTTTCACAGTTAAGTGGGCACCTGGTCTTTGAGAATCTTCTTAGATAGCTCTCTTTGGTTCCACAACTCTTCCATCTACCTTGTGTGGCCTTGCATTCATGGCTGCATCTACCTCCTCCACAGTGGCATCTGAGACAAACCCAAAGGCCCGGAATGCTTAGTGTTTGGATCTCTCATTACCACACAGTCCATGAGCGTTCCCTGTTTTATTATTTATATATGCCTAAGGTTAGGATTGTTGGTTAAGAAAGCATGAATATCTTCAACTTTATTAGAAAATATCATTGTTCATGGTGATTATACCAATTTGCACTCCTGCTGTAAGTGAAGTATATGAAAGTTTCCATTGTTCTGCATCTTCACCAATGCTGTGTTGTCTGACTTTATTCCTGATTACTAGGAAGAAGCACCTTTTAACAGTTATTATTTGTATATCTTCTTTTTAGAGTGCCTGTTGATGTTTTTTGCCCATTTTTCACATGGGTTTCATTTTCTGTCATTTTGTAGGATGTATTTATGTATTTATGGTAGATCTTGGTTGATTTATGTTGCGAGTATATTCTCCCACTCTGTAGGGAATGTTATCTCTATTGATGATGGATTGCTCTGTTGTCAGTCTGGTTCTCTATGGTGTATTTTAAGAAAAATAAGTTCTCAATTTTAATGTAGTCAGATTTATCGGGTTTTTTCCCTTTATATATATCGCTTTGTGAATATTAAGAAATCCTTTTTCTATCCCGAGGCTATAAAGTATTATGCTATATTATCTTATAAAATATTTACAATTTTACTTTTTACAGTTTAGCACTTAATTGACTTTCAATAGATGATAGTGTAAGGTTAGGGTCCAGTTTTGTCTTTTTCCATAATAAATGGACAGAATATTAATTTTTTTCCCAGCCAATAGTTATTGAAAAGATCATTCTTTGTGTAAGTAATGATCTTCAGTGCTACTTCTGTCATATATCAAGTGACCATACATTCATGGTGTCTTTCTAGACTCTCTATTCTAGCTTATTAGTCTATTTGTTTATCCCTGTGTTGATACCATGGCACGTTAATTACATTGTAAGAATTAAAAATAATTCTCATTAGGAGGTACGGTAAGTTGTCTTAACTTAGTCTATATTTTCATGCATTTCTTGGCTCTTATTGGCATTTTGCACTTTCATGCTTCCACATGCATTTTAGAATGGGCTCCTTATATTCAAACAAAACAAAACAAAACTCAAGAAATTTTGAAGGAATGCATTGAATCTATAAATCAGTTTGGGAAAACTCACACGTTTACAACATGAAGTCTTATAAATCGGAAACATGGCTTGCCCACTTTTTGTCTTTCTGTGTCTTTTTTTTTAAGGAAAATATTTCAGTAAAACGTTACTATTTTCTTATATGAGGTCTTTATATATTTCTGTTAAGTTTTTCTGGGTATTTTGTATTTTTAGAAGTAACATGTTATGTTTTTCTTTTTTAAACTGCTACTATGAGGATTTTTGTATATTTTTGTTGATAATACCAAGCAACTCTGCTAAACATACATATTCTATTTTATCAGTGGATCTTTTAGATTTTTCTAGATGTACGAATATAGAGAATAATACCTTTTTCTCTTTATAATCTATGTAGATTTTGTGTCTTTTTTCTCATCCTGTTACATCTGCTAGTAGCCCTAGAAAAGTGATGAGTATCAACAATAGTAGCAGGTATCCTTGTGTTATGCTGAACCTTATAGGGAACATATTTACCAGTATAATATTTAATGTCAGATTTAAAACAAATTAACATACTTTTTGGGGGTACTGTTTCTTGAATTTAGCGTGTATGGATTCATGTAACCACCATAATCAGGATAGAGAATAATATCTAATATCATTATCCCTAAAATTCCTTTGCTTGCTGCCACTTTATAGTCAACCCCATCCCTGAACCCCCATCTCTAACCTCTAGCAACTACTACTCTGATCTGTTCTTCATCCCTCTAGATTTGTCTTTTCCAGATGTCATATAAATGCTATTGAACAGTGGTTGGCTTTCTGAGACTGACTTCTTTCACTCCCCATAGTGCCTTTAAGATTCCTCCATGTTGGCCAGGCACTTTGAGAGGCCGAGGTGGGTGGATCACCTGAGGTCAGGAGTTTGAAACCAGCCTGGCCAACACGGTAAAACTCTGTCTCTACTAAAAATACAAAAATTAGCCGGGCATGGTGGTGGGCTGTAATCCCAGCTACTCTGGAGGCTGAGGCAGAAGAATCACTTGAACTTGGGAGGTAGAGGTTCCAGTGAGCCAAGATCGTGCCATTGTACTTCAGCCTGAGCAACAAGAGTGAAACTCCATCTCAAAAAAAAAAAAAAAAAAAAAGATTCCTTCATGTTGATGCATATATTCCTCTTTATTGCCGAGTAGTATTCCGTTATAGGGACATACCATCATCTGTTTATGCATCCACCCATTAAATTAAGCATGTTTACTGGCTCTGAAAATTATTCTACTTCCTTGATCAAGCTACTTAATGTCTCTATGCATTAGTATCTTCATCGATAATGGAGACAATAATGGTACCTACATCATAGGGTTATTGTGGGAATGAAATGAGTTGATAAAGTACTTAGAATAACGCCTGATATATAGTAAGTAGTCAACAAATGAAATCCATTATTATTGTTTTCAATATTAGCAAAGATTTTGAGGTAGAAAAGAATTTGACAAGTTCAAGGAATGGCAAGAAAGCCAGTATACGTGGAGTATGATGACCCAGGGGAAGGAGTGGTGTGAAATGATAGGGAGAGATATGTAGGAACCAGGACATGCAGGTCTTTATGGGCTGCAACAGAGAACTCTGATTTCACTCTAATTGTGTGAAAAGCCAAGGATAAGATGATCTGGTTCATGTCTATGTAGATCACTCAGTCTGCTTTGATGAGAACCAGTTACAGTGGTGCTAAAAGTAGAAGCAGGCATCCTACCAGACATATACTACTTTAATCTAGCAGAGAGATGGTGGTAGCTTGGATTATCGTGGTGCTGGTGGGGATAGTGACAAGTGGTCACTGCCAGACCATTCAAGGTATGGTTTGGATTTGGAACCCACAGAACTTTCTGATGGATTCACAACTCAGTGGAGCACCTTCCCCACAAAGTAGAGGTCTGTCTAGCCATGATTATCAGCAGCAATGCTACTCTTCCAGCATGGCTTTGCCAATGATTTCCTTCATCCATTTTTTAATTAAAATACAAATTTCCATGCCTGATTTAGGAAATCTACTTGGAGAAATAGCCTGGCTTTCACACATGTTTAAATGAAGTCAGACTACTTCTTGTATACTCATACTCATGACCCCAAACACATTTGTAAAATAATTGGATTATCTCACAAAAATGTGTGCTCATAGCATTTTGTCTTGTGGTTCTCTGCAGCCTGTATAGTTCCATGACCCCACACACTTAGCATTTCTGCTGGAAATAAAGTTGTCTTGACAGCTTCATGCTTAGCCAGCGGAATGGTAGTTTTAGTGGTTGGCTGGAGTTCTTGTGTACACTTGGGACTTATTGTTGAAATAAACATTATTAGACTCGTATTAAAATTGGACCAGAAATTTATTTTTGTCCTTTCAGCCTCAATTCACCCTAGAATCTCTCATTCAAATGACAAATAGTATTGACTTTCCAAGATAAAGATTAAAATCAACCCTGGATGCTTACTTAGCCTTGCATTCAAATGGAGATTTTTTTTCTTTTTTGAAACAGAGTTAAAAATAGAGTGCTCTGATCTCACATAGAGAATTTTCTTTTGTTTCCTGCCCTGTCTGCTCTTAACACATCTGTGTTTGTCCTCTGTGGGGACTTAATTTCCAACTCCTTAAAGACAAACACCTGACCCAGTGTTTATCTGGAACACACTCATCATCCCTTTTTTTTTTTTCTTTTAACCCTATCCCGTCTGCTTCATTTGTGTCTTTTCATAATTCAGGGTTTGCTGAAAGGAAGGAATTTACCTTTTATCCTGAACTACTTGTCCTGTCTTTCAGCAATTTTTAACATTTGTTGTCAGGTTGATGTCAAATTGTGGTATTTATTTTAGTCAGTTTATTTCTAAGAGGACCACGAGATAAATTTTGTGCCTCATTTTGTACTTCTTTATAATTGGCTTCTTCTTTGATTTTACAGAATACCAAGCTGCTATTTTACACTTGAAGAGGGAACACAAAGAAGAAATTGAAAACCTGCAGGTATACCTCTTTGATGCTACTGAACTGGTTCTAGAGAACGGATACTTGGTTTTCTCCTATGCTGAAGTAAATACTCCTCTTGAAGTGTTAAACTAGACAGCATCGCAACTTGCAGCTGCCAGTAGACACTGTGTCTGTACAGGGCATGCAAAGCCTTGGATTCTGCTTTTCATAGAATTCAATTTCTAATTTTAAAAAATACCATAAATGCATTTGATTGAATTGGAAAATGATTATTTTCTTTTTAAAGCAGAAGAGAAAATGGAATAGACTTCTACTGTTATATAAAATATAGTGAAGGTTTTTTTTTTTCTAGGTATGATGGAAGTTATTTTTGTTCAGCTTCTTCTTGTTCAGGTGTTCATGTCTGTATGTTTCTTAGCACATCCCTGAAGTGTGATGTGATGCAGTTTACAGAATTTAAGGAAGGAACCATAGGAGGTGTAGTTGTGCTGAGCCCTTCCATATCCGCAGAGAGTGCTGGGAAGTTGTTGACCTGATCCTCCTTTGTGAAGCCCAGAATGACTGAGGGATCATTTCCCTTGTGCTGCCATCTAGTTGACATTCCCTATGTTTGGCATTTGCTCGTAGTGCCTGTGGCAGAAAGTTCAGAATCTTAACTTTAAATAACTGGATACTGAATCAGGCACTGAGAGTTATTTACTGATGGCCGCAGTAACCCCCTGCTTCAGGAGAGAATGACAGCAAAATTTCAATAGCATTACTTCCTCATTTAATGTTAACTCATGACTTGCTAATTTGATGAATCTGTGAAACAGATATTTCTATTCTCAAAATTTGTTAGTTTGCAAATAGAAATTGTGTATATATGTGATATATGACATGTTTTGAAATATGTATATATTGTGGAGTAACAAATTGAGCTAATTAATTTATACATTGCCTCACATATTTATCATTTATATGTGGTGAGAACACGTAAACTCTGCTTTTTTAGAAATTTTAAAGTATACAATATATGGTTATTAACTATAGTCACCATGTTGTATAGAAGATTATCTTGAATTCTTTTCTCACATCTAACTGAAATTTTGTCTCCTTTCATCAACATCTCCCTAACCCTTCCCCACCTTTTGCCCCTCTCTGCCCCTAGCCCCTGGTAACCACCATTCTACTCCCTGTTCCTACGAGTTTGACTTTTTTAGATTTTTCACATAAATGAGGTCATGCTGTGTCTGTCTTTTCTGTGCCTGGCGTATTTCATGTAACATAATGTTCTCTAGGTTCGTCTGTATTGTCTCTAATGACAGGATTATTTTTTTCCTTTTAAAGGCTATAGTATTCCATTTCGTATATAAACCACATTTTCTTTGTCCATTTGTCCATTGATGGACACTCATGTTGATTCCATATCTTGGCTTTTGTGAATAATGCTGCAGTCAACATGAGAGTGTAAATATCTCTTCAACATACTGACTTCATTTCCTTTAAATATATACCCAGTAGTGGGATTTCTGGGTCATATGGTAGTTCTAGTTTTAATTTTTTTGAGGAGCCTCTACACTGTTTTCCACAAACTAGTTTACATTCCCACCAGCAGTGTGCGAGGGTTCTCTTTTTCCATATCCTCACCAATACTTACAATCTTTTGTCTTTTTTGGCAGTAGCTATTCTAACAGTTGTGAAGTGATATCTCATTGTGGTTTTAGTTTGCATTTCCCTGATGATTAGTGATGTTGGAGCATTTTTTCATATATTGGTTGACCTTTTTGTATGTTTTCTTTTGAGAACTATCTTTTCAGATTATTTGCTCCTTTTAAAATCAGGCAGTTTGTTTTCTTGCTGTTGAATTCCTTAAATATTTTGTATATTAATTCCTTATCAGATATATGAAAATATTCTTCTTTTCAATGAATGATAATGCACTTTTAAAAAATAACTGAGTCGGTGTATTGGATTATATGTTATGTGATTGCAAGTAGCAGAAAAGTATTAGGTAAGTAGTATGGTGTATAAATTCAGGCCCGACCCATCCAGCAGAGTTTCAGTAGTTTGGGAGAGAAAATGAGTCAATTTCACAAAGAAACAAAAAAGTGGAAAAGTACCTCTGTCTCCTAGAAGAAAAGGAGAGGAGGAGGCCCTTATCTCCCTTGTTACCAAATGCCCTACAGGGACCTCTCTTTCTTTTTCTTTGTTCTGATGTGAAAATGATTCTCAGCTGCCTCAGAGGAACTGAAATTGATGGGGGCTAATTTAAGACACAGATTCCTAAAGAGGGCAGGAACAGAAGTGATTCTGTAAGCAGAAGTTTTGTTAACAGCCAAGTTGTAACAGTTAACCCTAGCTTTCCACAAACTGTAGACCAGCCTGGCAAGGGCTTTGACAGTGGAATAATATTCATGGTAACAGAAGATGGCTACAGTTTTTTAATTCTTGCTGTGTGCTAAGTATTGTTCTAAGCATATTGTCTCATTTTGTCTCTGCAAAAGTCTTGTGATCTTACATATCTCAAACTAAGAAAAGATTGGAGGTAGAAAAGAGCAGTATATGGAAGAAGGAAAGTATATTGTGATCATGATCTGCACTTAAAATACAGGTTAGACTAAGGTGTGATTAACAGTAGTAAACATAAAAATGCTCCAAACTATACTTTAGATTTTTAAAAACCACCTGTAAAAGAATTATCTGCTCTTTTGATGATATTAGTACGCTTAAACTACAGTTTTTGCTCCACATTTATGATTTTTACCTAATTGCTGAAGCCATGGCCACCATGGCTCACTATTGCCATCTGAGTGGTATATCCATTTTATACACTTAGCTGTAGTTTTAAACTATTCTAGCAGTCACAGATGGACAACCCTCAGAAGGAAACCAGCAACTCTCTTCTCTGATCTGACCAGGAGAAGTGTTTCATTTGGCAGACACAGCATTTTAAAGATTGAACTAGGAATAAATATTTTAAAATATGGAGATTTTTATATAAAACCTGGATTTCTAGCTGCTGCTTTAAAAATTGGAGAAGCTGGCAACAAAGGACTGATTTTCTTGTATGACTTCAACCTGCTGGGGCTAAGTTGCAGGCATTCACTTCCACCAGGATGCATGACCTCTCATTTGCCAGGGTGCTCTCTGGGCCATTTTACCTGCCTGGTTAATTACGCCTGTACTCTGGGTGATACTGAAAATAAAATGAGACAACTGGTTTGGCATCAACACAATCAGAATAGATGCCATTCGCAAAACGAACAGACAAAAACCCAGCCTAGCTGTACTTGTGAGTCGTCACTGAATATCACCCCTGCCTGTTTTGTTTCACTAAGTAGCAGTCTCATCTTTTGTCACAGACCTAGTGGAAGATAGTGAGGGGGAAAGCTGCTATGTTGGTGCTTTCCATGTGATTTCCATTGGCAGCTATCATCGTCCGTTCAATTTTCTTTCTCCATGTACAAGTTATGGAGAAGTCAGATACGTTTCCAGACTTCTTCAACATGCCTTTCTAGAATAAGAAGGGTTTCAGGCTTTTAAAGTACAAAAGAGAAGTGACTCATTCTGTCACCATATATAAGAATTGATAAGTATCACATTTAGTCTTTTGGGAATGTTTTCATAGAATTTAAAGAAAACAGTATGATTCATTAAGCAGAGAACCGAAGTAAGCAGAGAACTTTCTATTTTGTTTTAACCATATATTTGAAGGGAAGTCACTTAATTGTTCAGTTTCCCCCACCAGCAAAATACAAGCCCTACCACCTAACATATTTGGATCGGACAGTTGATTATTTTACCTTGTAGTTCCATGGCTACTAAGTAGGGGAGCTCAGGGTTTTTTATTTCGTGTGTGCTCTGCAGCCAGCATTTGTTGAGTGATGCAGAATGGCAAGGGCACAAGGCTGGTCCTGCTACTGGCTTTTCAAAAGGTGTAGCAGGCTGCGTGGGCGACAGAGTGAGACTTTGTATCAAAAAAAAGAAAAAAGAAAAAAAAAAAAGAATGAGTCCAATGTCCCAAAGATGTCCTCAATCAAAAAAAAAAAAAAAAAGCACAAAGACCACTCTAAACTCAAGTTGCCTAATTATAAGGAGACTTGCAAAGGGAAGAAGGAACAAGAAATAATGTTTGCTTGAGTATGTGCTATGTAATGGTACTACAGGGTGTATGTCGTATTGAACTACCCAGGAAGGGTGTGGTATCATCACAATCAATATTATTGCTATTATTGTTCAGTTGCTAAAACTGAGAAAACTAAGTGCCAAAGAAGCTGATTAATTTCTCGAGGTCACAGTGCAAGGAGTTGAATTAAGTCCTCACTTCAAAACCCCAGTTCTTTCTCATTGTCGTCGTGTATCATGCATAAAATATTATCTTGGACTTTGATAAGGGAAAAGATCAATTGCACAGAGAAATGATCTGCCAAATAGTGATAATGATGATTTTCAAATCCTTGCTCCTAAGCAGTCTCAAAGAAGTAACTATTAGTACTGTTACTGGGAGAATCTGTTTTATCATATGCCTTAGTAGGACATACCTAAACTATGTTTCTACCTAGCTGTCATTAACTTGCTGTGCAATGGCTACCACTTACAAAAGTTTCTCAAGTGAACTCATGTAAAGGTAAGGTGCTGCCTTTTCAAAAATAAAGTTAGCAGAAGTATCCCAAATTGGAAAATGAAGCAGGTGAAGTCAAATAACATGAAGTGATCATAAACTCTCAAGGCAGAGTTTGCTAAATGAAGGATGCTCTTGGACAAAACTGAAGAATTTTGTTGTGGATATTATAAATGACGTAAAACAGTGAAGTCAGGGGAAATGTCTGACCTGCAGCCACTCTCCCGCTGAATGGCAAAATCATCCAAGTGCTTAGTTTTTAAGTAAAGGTGTATAAACATATGCACCAGAAATTGATTAATTTAAATAATCAATATATCTTTGCTTTTAAACTATAAGGGGAAGATAAATGTAAGTTGCTACACTTTTTTTTTTTTCTTTTTGAGACAGAGTCTAACTCTTGTTGTCCAGGCTAGAGTAAAATGCTGCGATC